ACTGAGAGCAAACCAGATTTCCCTCTTCACCAGGAGGCAAAGGCATGAGTGGTCTGGATGCCCACTTTCTAACCTTTCCTGCGCCCACTTCCCTGAGTTTCAAGTATTTTCTTTCCCTGGGTATTTGCATAGGAAACACCTTCACTTCTTTTGCAACTTCATTTCTTCTGCAACACACCGATGGCACAGGTGCAAGGGATCTCTACTACAGCCTGGATGATAACCGAGGTATGTCTGCAAATTGCAATTTCCCACAGCATTAGGCAGCGCGGAGAGACCAAGGACCCCGGCACCGGGCCTGCCGCTCTCCACTAGCGCGAGTTGTGCGACGGTCATGCCTGGTGGCGCACTGGGGAGTTGGCGCCGCCGCACCCAGCGCAGCTCGGAGGACAACAGTGACCCGGCCGCGGCGCGGATCTCAGCAGGAGCCACCGCCTTGTGTCTTCCCGGCTTGTCCGTCTCGCCCACCCTCTCCTGCCTGAGGCTGGTCACTTCGCGAATGATTCCACCACGTGAAGACCACGACATCGAGTGGCACTGTTGTTTCAGCACTTGGAAGAAGATGTTGCTCCGGGCTCGGCCGCATTCCCCGCCACTGGGGCCCCAACATTTCCAACTGCGAGTCTCCCAGCTGTCCGCTTCCTTTTCAATTTTCCCGGTCTTCACAGAACCGACATAAAGCCCAGAAATTCACTGCCAGGGTGCTTGGTAGGCAGCAGGAACCGCCAGCCTGCGGACGGCGTCCTCTGGCATCCCTTACCCATCACCCCGACGCGCCCACTTGCCGTCACAGAGAGTCCCAGCCTGCACTGTGGAGCGTGATTGGTCGCGAGTGTGGGGCGTGAACAAACTGTAGTTGGTGGGAGCCGGGTGAGTCTTGTGTGAGGATGAGGGTGTCTCTGAGTTCAGCGACTTCTGAGGCAGAAGGGTTGTAAGGTCCAAGCCAGCGTAGGCAACAAAACGAGACTGTCTCAAAAACATAAATATGACAAAATTTAGCTCACACATTTGCCTTTTTCCTACTTGGACCAGAGGAGTGAAAAGGTGATTTTTCTGTTTGGAAAGGAGAAACTGAGAGCCCAGAGAGTACAGCATTAGTATTAGGTTTGGCTACACCCAAGGGAGCAGAGAATGGGCTAGTACGTTAGAGTTCAGGAAAAATAATGGTTGTGGAGGTAAATGTGTCTTCTACACAGACCCAATGCCTAGTTATCAGAGGTCATGATGGAGAGATTTAGGAACTTTACATATGGAAAAAGAATTGCCAGTTGCACTAAGCAGTAAACTGTAATTCATTATCAACAAAACTATAAATATTTGAAGCCTAGTCTTTGAAATTGGATACCAAAATGAAATTCAAGGTCTCACATTGGACTAATACAAACGCAGGGAAATATAGACAGAGAAACAACCACCTCTCTCTCCACTCCTCCAAAAGTGCTCCTCTGCAGAACTTAAAGAGGTGGGAGCTGGTGACTGTTTTGAGAGATTGGTTGATCCTTTACTTCAATGATGTAAGAAGTTGAAGAGAGGTCAAGAGGAAAAGACGATTTATTTGGACAGAATTAGGCATTAGAAGTACTTTACAGTTTTACTTTGAACAGGATTAATCTGAGGGAACCAAGAATGTTCTTTTATCTCAAAGTGAGTAAGGACTTTTTAATTACCTAAGAGTAGCCAAGAATTATGGGACTGGCTTGTGACTTCATCCATGGGGCACAGAAACTAGGATTTTACAGGTATCTATTAAGGGACCACCAAGGGGAAAGGATAAAGTGGTTTTATGTTTATTTTTCTGTTAACTATGGAGTCTTTCAGTGGGGGCAGTACTAGAGTTTGAACTAAGGTCCTTTGGCTTGCTATGCATGCACTCTACCACTTGAGCCATGCTCCCAGCCCTTTTTGTTTTGATTATTGCTATTTTTTTTTCTTTTGGCAGCACTGGGCTTTGAACTCAGGGACTCATGCTTGCTAGGCAAGCCCTTTTACCGCTTGAGCCACTCTGCCATCTCTCTTTATTTCTGAGACAGGACCTTGAATTTATGCCTGAGCTGACCTGGACTGTTATCCTCCTACTTACACTTTCCATGTAGCTGGGATGACAAATGTGCACCACCATGCCCAGCTATTGATTGAAGTTGGGTCTTGTGCTTGAGCCACTGCTCCTGGCCGAGTTCTGCTTTTTGATGTAAAGGTTACACTTTCGTTAATGTGTAAAGTATCTGAAATAGATAGATGATCTTCCTTCCTACCTTATACCAGTCAGACAAGTATGTTCAGTCATTGGTACCACAAGTCAAGAGGACCATGGACAGGACATATGGACATAAGGATGGTTCATGTTTAGATTCATGATCATGTTATTTGGGATGTTTAGGTTGTACAGAAGTCTGGGCTAACAAACGATCATCATATACCAACAACAAACATACAAACAAGTCCCCAAGATGATTTCAGAGAATGATTTCTCTTAATGATGCTATCAAAGAATTAGAATAGGGCACAGTGGGATAAAGAATGAGTGGGTAATCTTGGAGTTGAGATTTGTATGGTGGAAAGGAAGCAACCACATGAAGAAATATGAAGTGAGTGCTCCAGAGAAAAGGAACTTCTGCCAGCATGCTTGATACAGGTCAGAAATAGCAAGAAGGTAGGAGTGATTAAGACAGAGTAGACAATGTCAGGAAATACAGAGATTTCTGAGAAGCAGCCAATGGCCAGATCACATAAAGTCTGGAAGCCATCATAAGAATTTTAGATTGCACTAGAGATAACTGAAAGGTTTTAAGCAAGGATTTGCTCTTGAAGTCACCTTCCTTGCTTTATGAGGATAAGAGTGAATGTAGAAAGCAGATTCATTAGAAAGATGTGGGTGTAGAACAGGTAACATATGATGATGGTCTTGTAGCCCCAGAAAAGATATCCATTTATCCATGAACTTGTGAAAATTATCTTTTTAGCAAATACTTTGCAGATATAATTGTTTTAAGATATTGAGATGGGGAGATAGTTTGAATTATCCAAGTGGACTCTAAATGCACTTATAAGAGACAGGCAGACATAGAAGAAAAGGCAATGTAACCACAGAGATTGAAGTGACAAGGCCACCAGTCAGGGAATACCAGGCACCACTAGAAGCTAGAAGAGGCAAGGAAAGAATTCTCTCCTAGAACCCTTAAAGGGCATGTGGCCTGACAACACTGCTACAGCTCTTCTGGCCTCAACACTGCAAAGGAATCAATTTTTGCTTTTTCAGCTGTCAAGTCTGTGGTGCTTTGTTACAACAACTGCAGAAAATCAGTGCAGGTTACTTGGCATAGGGTTTTAGCAATGGAGAGGGTCAGAAATGATTGGATTCAAGATATATTTTGTAATGGTAGAGGACTTACCTAGCATGTAGAAGGCGCTGGGTTCAGTCCTCAGCACTGAAAAAATATATATATTTTTGGAAATAGGACCAATAGGACTTGCTGATATATATGATTTGGGTATCCCAGAGGAAAAGAATCAAGGCTGATTCACGTATTTTTGGTCTCAGTAAATGGATGGACGATGGCAACATTTACTGAGAAGGGAGAGGGGACAGGGATTATTATATGTTTGTCATAGTCATGGTTGTGAAAATATAAATTATCATGTGTTGGTGCTATATTTGCATCAGGCACTGTCCTAAGCTCTTTACATGTGTTAAGTATTGCATGTACTAACTTGGTGAACTGTGGAGGGCCAGGCAGTTAGATGAGCCTGGAGCTGAAAAAAGGCTAGGCTGGAAATATAAATTAGGCCATCAGTGTATGTAAAGCCAGAACCCTGTTATAAAGGGTACCTAATTAGATCACTACAAAGAGAACATATCTAGAAGACAGAAGAGTTGGTAGGGGGCCTGATTCAGGGTTCACCCAATCTTTTTGTAATACAGAAGAGAAGGATCCAACAAAGAAAGGCCAATGAGGGAGGAAACCCAGCAGCATTTGGGCTGGTGGTGTGACTCAAGTGGTAGAGTATCTGCCTAGCAAGTGCAAGGCCCTGAGTTCAAACCCCAGTTCTAAAAAAAATAAAGACAAGATCTGTCTAGGGAAGAAAGAATAGACTACTGCATTTAGTAACATGGCTGTCAAAAATGACCATGAAAAAAGTGATCTTGAGAAAGGCCATTGCAGTAGTTTGATAGGAGAACTCCATTGGAGCAATTTGTAGAGAATAGGAAGTGAGAAAGAGTATGTGGAGAATCTAGGTAACTTTTTGGAGGAATTTTGCTGCCAACAGAGGTTATAAACTATTGCCAGTGGGGAACTTGTAATTCAGTGAAAGTTCTAAGGACTGGCTGAAGCGATAGAGCACCTGCTTTCCCCATGCAAAGCCCTGAGTTCAAACCCTAGTCCCACTAAAAATAAATAAATAAATAAATAAAACAACAGAGGGGGCTCTAATTGGCTCCTTTTTTTAAAAAGAAGATAATCTTTTTATGTTTTATTTTGCATTTTTAAATTGACTAAAATCTTTGCAATGTTTGCTTCCCTTCTGTTGATCATCAGGCTTTATGATAAGACAATGAAAAATTTTTTTTATCACATCAAGTGGGTACACTCAAAAACAATGGATAATTTACAAACAAATCTCCTTAATCAAAAGCATTTTGCAAAATGCATACAATAGTACTCTAATTGGTTGTTTATGTTGCTGATTCTGCAGCACATGTTTGCTTGTTGGTGGCAACTGAGGAGAATCCAAGGTATTGAATATAAGGCAGTAACGACTTAAGGAGGCAAGGTCCCTGGAGTTGAAGTAGGTGTATAGAAGACGGCCGAACTCTATTGCACTTTCCCCAAGGCTTTGGTCATCAAGAATAGGCGTTGTTCACGGAAGCTACCCACACCTCCCTCAGGGCTAGGCAACACACACAATCAATTCCTGCAGAGGAACCACAGTTCCCAGCAGGAGTTGCGGGGGGCGCCCAGTGCGCAGGCGCACACCGCGCGCCTCGGATTCCTCCTCCCCCTCCGACCGAGCCCCAGTTCCCGGCTGAAGTCACCGACGCTAAGGGGGACGGTTTCTTCTTAAAAGAGAAACGACAGCGGCGCGCGCGAGGTGGGGCCTTGTGCTTCCGCAGCTCTCTGGGCCTGCACGCGAGGCCAGGGAGGCGCAGGCGCAGTCAGGGTGAGGGCGGGTGGGGCGCGCAGGTAAGACCCCGGCGTGGGTGGGCCGCGGCGGGGGCTTTGGGCAGCCTAAGAGCTGCCTTTGGGATTGGTCTGTCCCACGCGTTGTAAGCATTCAGTGGACCGCCAGAGACCCGGTGGGGGCGCCCTCCAGACCTCCGGCCCCACCCCCACTCGAGCTGAGGCGCTCCCCCAGTTGCACGCCAGAACACCAGCTCTCTCTCCCCTATAGACCAGTAAAGGCTGCCTCAGTTGAAATTTCTCACGCCCCTTCCCCGGAGTCTCAGGCCTTTGTTCTAACTTTTACTCCTTACCTCCCACCCTACGACAGGCACCTTGTAGAGCAGAGCTCACACACCCTGCTCTATAAGGAGCAGCGACTCCTAGTGAAATAGTTTATTCTTGCCCCAGTTCGCTGATAAGGAAACTGAAATCCGAGCGGCAAGTGGAGCCAGGGGCTCCACGGGCCACCACGGTTCAGACAGTCTATCTCCTTCACTCTCCAGGCCGGGCACACATGGCTTCCTCCCCTGTGGCAGACGCGTCCCGCAAGCGGCGGGAGAAGCGGAGGCAGCTGGATGCGCGCCGCAGCAAGTGCCGCATCCGCCTGGGCGGCCACATGGAGCAGTGGTGTCTCCTCAAGGAGCGACTGGGCTTCTCCCTGCACTCACAGCTCGCCAAGTTCCTGTTGGACCGGTTAGGGGCCGGGCGAGGGGCTCCAGGGGTGGGCACCCAGGCAGCAAGCCCCTAGCCCCCTCTCCAGGGCCAAGTCCTATTGCTTGGCCCTTGCTCCTTTACACCCTCAGGTTTCTCTCTTCAGCAGGATGGCCAGTGTGATTTGTGGCCTCCCAGGTCCTGCTCCTCTCCTCAAGGTCCCAGCGAGTAAGAGGCCATTAGGGCTGGCCCCTTTAGTGTGTGAGTGCCCAGGGCTGAGGGTGATTGGCTACTTGGGCTCTGATCTGACCTGCAGCTTCTCCCTCTGGTAGGTACACTTCTTCAGGCTGCATCCTCTGTGCAGGTAGGTAGAAGATGGCTGGGGATAGGAGACAGAACGAAGAGAAGCAGCAGGGAGTGGTGCTTTCCAGAAACTCCCTCCCTCAGAGAGTTGGATCAGAAGCCCTGAATAACTTTGGGAAAGGAGAATGGAATGGGGAGGAGTAGTCAGATGGGGAAGTATCTGAAGAAAGGAGCAGCATCTTAGGAGTTTAGGGGTATATTTATCATTCTGAAGAATGGGGCTGAGGTTGTCCAGGGGTTTGAATTGACAGCGTTGTCTAAGTGTCTTTCTTGGTGAGAAGAAGGAGGCCTTACATCCCAGCCTGACACCCTCCCCCACCTCTCCAGGTCCAGAGCCTTTGCCCCCCAAGGGTCTGCAGTATCTGGTGCTATTGTCTCATGCACACAGCCGAGAGTGCAGCCTAGTGCCTGGGCTTCGAGGGCCTGGAGGCCAAGATGGGGGACTTGTGTGGGAGTGCTCAGCAGGCCACACCTTCTCCTGGGAACCATCTTTGAACCCTACACCTCCAGAGGCCCCCAAGCCAGCTCCTATTCCACATACTTCCCTGGCAGGCTGGTGTCCGGAGGGCAGGAGCAGGCAGGAGCCTGCAGGTAGGTTGGGGGAAAGAAGTGTGGAGAAAAGGGAGAAAAAAGGTTTCCAATCTTAAGTAGCTCAGAACTTGTTTCTAAAAATGATCCTTTTATGCTAACAAGGAAATAGGTTCTCACATACATTGTTAGGCATCAAAAAGCAAAGCAGAGTAGGATGTATGGTATGGAAAATAAAAATAAGGATAAAAAGAGTATATATTTGTATACATTTGTATAAGATATCTCTGCAAGGGCACACAGGAAGCCAGGTTGCCCATAGGAAGAATTAGGTGAGTAGGGGACCACATAAATGTATCATTTCTAAAGTAAAATACCCCTTCTCATTTCCCGTAGCCTCTGTCCCCTCTCCCTCCTTAAGAATTAGACCTTAAACTCCACTTCTCGTTTCCTTGAGTCCAGCATTTCTTCCCTTTTGACCTTATCTGTGCCAACAGGTTTGGAATCTGAGCATGATGAGAGGACTCAAGAAGCCAGGTTACCCAGGTGAGGATGAGAGATAGAAGGGACAGGATGGACTTGCACAATAGTAGGGGTGAGGGAGAATAACCTCAGACTTGCCTTCCTTGGGCTTGCAGGGGTGTGGGACCCCCACCTGAGACCTTCCTGCCTCCCAGAGAGGAACAGGATGAGGAAGATGAGGATGATGACGAGGATGAAGAAGAGATGCTCAGTGATGCCAGCCTGTGGACCTACAGCTCCTCCCCAGATGAGCCAGTTGGGGTTGAGGGATGATACTGAACAGAGCAAGAGAGGGAAGAGGCAGCTGGCCCAAGAAATGGGCTTATTGGTTGGGAGGGTAGCATGGACTTTGGAGAAGGTAGAAGGAACTGGAGGCTTTGAATTGAGGATGTGGAAAGGAGTGAAGTCAGGCTCTGGAGAAGACTTAGAGATAAAAGCAGGCATAAATGGAAAGCTTGGCTTGGGGAAGGGTTGTTCAAGTTGGGAATTTTTTTCAGTCTAGGAGTTAAGGTTGGATCAATGTGGCTGAATGCCCAGAGAGATAATGCCTGACTGCTTTGGTTCTCTTTTTCAGCAGTGAACCAGATGTCCCTAGACCACCCCTTTCCTCTGTCACCTGCACATCTGAGGGAGAAAGACCACTTTCGCCTGCAGTTCTCACAACTCCTCTTGCTGTCTCCTCCTTGCCAGTATCCCCAGTGGGTTCCAGAGCTCCTCTAACATCAACAGTTGAGGTGCAGTTGGAGCTCAGTGGGACCCCTCTGGCAGCCCAGCACACTGAGTCTTTGGCGAGGTAACCTAATGAATGAGACTGAGGGTGGGTGTCTTGTGACGTACCTCCCTCGAGGCCCTTTGCTTCCTCTTTGCTGCCCATAGCCCTGGGACTCAGGCCTTGTCTGCTGCCCCAGTCTCTGCCTGGGATGAGGACACTGCACAAATTGGGCCCAAGAGAATTAGGTAGGACTTGGGAAGATGGGACTCTAGGGTGGGCCAAGAGGAGGGAGGTGGAGGAGAGCAAGTGAGTCCTCTCACTCCACATTTTCCAACTCCAGGAAAGCTGCCAAAAGAGAGCTGATGCCTTGTGACTTCCCTGGCTGTGGAAGGATCTTCTCCAACCGGCAGTATCTGAATGTGAGTTGCACAGGTTGAGGCCTGTGTAGCCCCTAAGGTTGGGAAGAAGCTGAGGAAAAGAAGCCCATGTGCCTAGGTGGGGAGTAGCCCCAATAAGAGAACTTGCCTAGAATGTGAGGCCCTGGGTTTGATCCCCAGCACTGCCAAAAAAGAAAAAAAAAAAGAGGCACAAGAAATGGTCCTGATCTCAACCTTATTGTGCAAGAAGTTTGAAGCCCCATAGTTCGTCAGAGCCCTCAGCAGAGCATATCCTAAGTGTAGAGGAGAGCTGTAGACCAGAGAAATAGTGAGGTGTGGGTGGATAGGACAGGGGAGAACACTAGCTACAAAAGATAACAGAGGAATTGTGAAAAAGGGAGACAATTCCAGAATGACAGTGAGGCTACAGGTGGAAAACTGGAATTATGATGAAGGGGAATGGCCCGTACAATGTAGTGAACTAAGATGCAAAATTAGATCAGAAATGTGTGCTGGAGGCAAGGCTCAAATGGTAGAGTGGCTGCCTGGCAACACAAGGTCCTGAGTCCAAACCTCAGTACCACCAAAGAAGGAAAGGGAGAGAGAGAGAGAGAGAGGGAGGGAGGGAGAGAGGAAGAGAGACAGAAAGGAGAGAGAGAAGGAGGGAGGGGGGAGGGAGGGAGGATCAGAGAAGAGAGAGGGAGGGAGGGAGAGAGAGAGGAGAGGGAGAGAGAGAGAGAAGGAAAGAAGGAAGGAAGGAGGGAAGGGGATGGGGAAGGGAAGAAAAGAAAAGGAAAAAAAGAAAAAGAAAAGAAAGACTTCCACATCAGAGCACTAAAGTAGAAGAACCCATTACTCAGGCTGGGGTATGTAACTCACTTGCATGGCATGTGTGAGGCCCTGGATTAGATCCCCAGCACTGAAGAAAACGAAAAACAACCCTTAAAAAGTAAAGTAATACACATTGAGAGGTTGTGTGTGAGTGTGTTTCCAAAGTATATTTAGAAGAGAATCACATAAAGTGGTCAGAGAGATTGTTGTATGTTAATTTGATATTGTTAAGGATAATCTCATTTACCCAAACTATGTTCCATCCCAGATGATGAATCCATGGTTGGGTAAACCAGGAGTGTCATTCAGATTGACACTTTTATATGGAGAACATTGCAAGACATTGCAGTGTAAAAGTGTGGCAGGGAAGTGAATTAAGGTTAATGTTTTATTTTCCTTTTGGTGATGCTGGGGTTTGGAAGGCAGCTATGCTCACCACTATACAACCAAACTACTGGGGTTTGAGCTTGGGGGTGCTTTCTAGACAGTGTCTCTACCCCTTCAGCCACACCCCCAGACCTAAGTGATTCAATAGAAGTCAAGGGCAAAACAGGGTGAGTTCAGAGTTTAGTGGTCAGGATGGGATGGGTATGCTACACATGATGTAGGTGGAGATGGAACTAGGATGACTAAGCACTGACAAAACTGTGGTATGGGGGAAAGGAGGGTAGCTGAGGAGCTTACCTGCTGGGTCAGCTTAGTTGGTCTCCCTGGAGAAGGCAGTCATTCTTGTGCCTTTTCTTCCTTGTTACCCACTTCCTTCCTAGCACCACAAGAAATACCAGCACATCCATCAGAAGTCATTCTGCTGCCCTGAGCCAGCCTGTGGGAAGTCTTTCAACTTTAAGAAACACCTGAAGGAGCATGTGAAATTGCACAGTGGTGAGTAGTGGAACTCCATCTACTTCACCTCCCTATCTGTGGGGCCCTTCACCTTTCTCTGAGGGATGACTCTCACTGTTATCCTCCATTCTGTGTGCTAAGCACTTGTCTGCTTGAGACTGTTCTAGGTGCTGAGTATAGTAGTGAGTATAGAGTGGAGTGAGACATCCACTCTATTGATGTAGGATTATGAAGAGATGAGAAAACAGGGAAAGGGAAGGAGGATGGAGGACAGTTGCTCCTATAGAAAAGAAGAATCTGAGGAAAGACTTAAGTGAAGTGAGGAGTGGTGGCTAGTGCATGTGGGAAGACCCTAAGGTGGCATCAGTGTGGTGTGTTCCAGGAATAGGGAGGCAGCCAGGTTAAAAAAGAAAGTCTTAGTCATATAAATTGAGGAGGCCTCCAAGACCAGTAAGGATGGCTTAGCTCCTACTTTGAGTGAGATATCATCTGGGTGGCAGAAACACATGGCTGGTTTTGAAAAAAATCAGTGTAGCTGCTATGTGGAGAGTAGCGGGGACTGCAGATGGTTAGAGCTGGTTGCTCAGCTGCCAGGCGACTACAACGATGTGCATGTGGATAATGATGATAGCCTGGACTTGCTAGTAGCAGTTGGTGAGCAGTGGCTGGAGACTCGTGTGTATAAATGGAGCCAAAAGGGCCGCTGTGGAAAGGATGGATTAGCCACAGGTGAGATAGGCGGTGAGTAGTCGGAGTGACTTCGAATTCCAGCCTGAACAGCTGGGCAGAAGGTGATGTGATTTCCTGAAAACAATGGAGAAATGGCTGGGGAGAGGGAAATTTGACTCAAGACATGTTAATTAAATATCCCAGAAAATGTGAGTTTGGAGTTTAGTGGAGATGTTGGGTAAAATATAAATGTGTGTGTTGTGAGCATATGTGTGGTATTTGTTGCCATCTGGCTGGAGCATTCCTACATAAAAAGTGAGTAGAGGCAGAGAAGAGGCCTGAGTGTGGCCCACCTGTCATTAGAGGGCAGACCAGGTGGGTGGAGAAGAAGGCAAAAAAAAGTGGTACTTAGGGACAGAAGTGCAGAAATTGTTCTGGGGGGAGGGTGGTGGTGGTGCAGTACTGCATGCCAAGTAAGGTGAGGATGAGAATAGGCCACCAGATGTTGCAGTAGGGAGGTCATCCTTTACCAGATAACAAGATATAAAAGGAGCAGCTGAACTGTGGGAATGGTAGCCATATGGAGTAGTTCTAAGTAGTGCAGAGCTGAGAAGTGGTAACAGCAAGTCTATAATCCTGGGGTTTTTCTATGAAGACAAGCAAAGAAATAAAGGTATTGACTGGAAGGTTGTTGGCTTGAGACACAGGGATGGGAATGATTCCAGAGAGGAAAGGCATGGTAACACCAGGGTGGTTGGGAATTTTGATGAGAAGGAGTGAGTTTTAAGAGGCATGGTGAAGGTGACCACATACTCATATATGTATATATGGGCACAGGTGCAAGTTAGCTAGTGGATTTGGTAGGCAGAGGATGTAGATGTTCTATACTGGTTTTTTCTTGCTGACTAAACAAAAATAAGAACTCTGCAGAGTGAGGTAGGGGACTGGGAGTATTGGAGACTAGTGGAGAAAAGAGATGGTGTGAAATGTTTTCCTGAGTCTAGACAGTGGGAGAGAGACCTTGCCAGGGAAATGTAGGTGGATTGAAGCTGTGGCGTAGATGCAAGGAGAGGCCATGGCCTAGAGCAGGCCAGGGATTGTTTTTATACTGAGTTGTGCTTTAACCAAGCAGGTGCCACTGAGGGAGAGAGAGGCAAGCTGATTGGTAGTGTGACTAAAGGAATGCTATAAAGATGGCCACAAAAATGGAGCTGAGGGGAGAAGGATGGAATGCGACGGTAGTGGGGCTAATGGATTGGTAGCCTGGAGTTATGGGATTATCATAGAAGGACAAGGAAGGAGGCCCTTACTGGAACCAGGATGCTTAAAGTTTCAATTTCAATGAGGTAGCACAGTGCTTGGGTGTGACCTGGGAGTGCTGATGGCTGAAGGTGGGTGGGGATGAAGTCAGAGAACAAATTGAGGGAGTGCTGAATGACAGCAGTAGTGGCTGATGAGTAGAGGACCAAGATCCAGAGTTGTAAGGATCAAGGGGTAGTGATGGGGACCAATGGAGGAGGCTGCAGAGGTATGTGTTGGTTGTGGGCTAGGTCTTCAGAGAGGTAGAGTGACAGAAGCCTGAAGGACGCCATCAGAAGCAATGACAATGTGTCTACCGTAGTCTACCAAGTCTACCTTAGATTTGGCAATATAGGAGAAAAACCACAGCATCCTGAGAGCTGGAAGGGTGGTTTCAGGAAAAAGAGTAGAGGGGATTGGATACCTGCAAACAAGGCTGGGAGAGATGGGATATGTGGGCCTGGGTGGGGATAATTCCATTTGCTAGGTGCCCTTGGGGCTTGGACTTAAATCTTGATTTCTGTCCCTGACTCCAGGCTTTAGTGTGGTTGCTGCTTGGTACTTTCTGTGCACACATCGTGACTTAGCTCTCTATTCCTTGCTTTTCCTTTGACAAAAACCCAGGTTAGGGTCCCAGGCACAGGGAGTGTACCTACACTGAAAGCTCATTGGTGACATAATGAAGTCTTTTAGTCATGTGTCCCATTCTCTGTATTCATATCTCACTCAGTTATCTGGACAACAACTTATTGGAATCCAGGCTTCCTGCTCCCCATGACTGGTGCATTCTGTGGGGACGGTAGGTAGGGTGGGCCGAGGAGGGTCATAGCCTGGGGATGGAGACTGGAGTGTCTCTCATGTGCCCACAGACACCCGGGACTACATCTGTGAGTTCTGTGCCCGATCTTTTCGCACTAGCAGCAACCTCGTCATTCACAGACGCATCCACACAGGAGAGAAACCCCTGCAGTGAGTGCCAGGGAGGGGTCTGAAGGCCAGGGGCCATGGGGAGGAGGTGGGGTCTGGCAGCCAGGCAGGATGCCCAGGCAGTGGAGAGCAGGAGGGATCCCTGGGGAAGTGAAGATAGACTGAAGTTCCTTCCTTCCTTCCTCTGTTCCTGGCTCCAGGTGTGAGATATGCGGGTTTACCTGCCGCCAGAAAGCCTCCCTGAATTGGCACCGACGCAAGCATGCAGAAACAGTGGCTGCCTTGCGTTTCCCCTGTGAATTCTGTGGCAAGCGCTTTGAGAAGCCAGACAGTGTTGCAGCCCACTGCAGCAAAAGTCACCCAGCCCTGCTCCCAACCCAAGAGTCACCTGGCCTCTTAGAGTCCTGTCCCAGCATCTCAGCCCCTGAATCCCTAAGGTCTACTGAGGGGTTTGGGCCCCTTACCTCCTCAGGCTCCACCTTGGCTTCTTCAGCAGTAAGCACTTCCCCTCTGCTTGGGAAGCCAGACTCCAGGGACTGAAAAGATTTGGAGAGATAGCCTGGATGAGAAATGTCAGATGCCTGGTCCCCAGAGGTCTGGTTCCAGACATCTAGAACCAGGGTGATGGGCAGCACAGGATGGGAGCATGACTGGGCTCTAGAGAAGCCTGACTACTTTAGTAGTCTGCATGTGTGGGCAGAGCAAATGTTTTGGCACCTGAGATGCAGGAATCCTGGATTCCTTTGAAAGCAGGCTGTTAAAATGTGCCAGAATGCAGTATAGGTGCAGGTCCTAACCTGCCTTGACCCTGAGGGCCAAGTTTTCTTTCTGGGCTCTTTGCAACTCTTTTCTATCAAGTATGACACCTACCCTCACACTCAAGTAGAAAAGGCTATGACCCACTGGGTCATACTTCAGTGGGACTGGCTGGACCAGGATGAGGCATGTGATCCTGGTCTATCTTCTATTTGCCATTAACTGAAAAAGCCTTATGTATAGATCCTGAGACTCTGGCCTTCTAGTGCAGAATTCAGAGGTCCTACCTGCAAGATAGCTGAGTTACCTTGGGTAGTGTTAACAGTTGGAATCTAAAAGTGTCCCCTAAAGGCTCATGTGTTAAAGGCTTGGTTGCTAGCTGATAGGCTTTTGAGGGGTTACTGGCTCTAACTTCCATCAATGAATTAATCCTTTCATGAATTCATAGCTAAATGGAACATTAGAAGGTAGGGCCTTTGAAGGGTGTATCTTGTCCCTGGACCCTTCCTGTCTTTCTGCTTCCTGGCTACCATGAGGTGAACATCTCTGCGCCATCACACCCTTTCCACCATGACATTGTGTCTCACCTCAGGCCCAAAGCAATGGATCAAAACTCCTGAAACCGTGACTCAAAATAAATCTTCCTTTAAATTGATTTTCTCAGGTATTTTGTTACAGCGATGAAAAGACTAACACAGGAAGGATGAGAGACCTGGGAATTACAAAAGAACCTGCTTCTTAGATCATTCCCAAGGTCTGTGAAGATAGTAGCCTTACATTTGGCAAAAAGGGCTCTTGGCGTCCAAAATTCAAACAAATAACTCCTTATTTCACCAGTCATAAGCAAAAAAATCACTGGCTTTTTTCCAGTGATTCCAGGAGACTCCATCCTGCTTTCTGTCCTCTGGAATCTGCTTCCCCATGGTTCCAAGCCTCATTTGAAAATAACATTCTGATGCTCCTCTTGGCAGTACAGGACTTTGTGGTCCCACATGGTCTTGACTTGGGTCCTAGGGCAAATGCCCCTCACCTGGCTGAAGAATACTGTCCTAAGAGTATCTTGCAAGGGAGCAGATAATGGCCATGTGGAGGGCCTTGCCCACTGTCACTGTGTGGGCCATCTCTGTCAGGGAGCTGGCAATTCTTGGCATGGAGATGTCAGGCACTAAAATGAGCTCTCCCACCTTCTCACTCTGCCTATAAATTTCCTACCTCAGTATCTACATCTCTCAAGCAGAAAGAGAAAGTGACAGAGGTTTCTTGGGTGGAACTAAGAGGCAAAAAGACCACAGCAGTGGCATGTGTGACTGGCCAAATCTGTGATCATTGCCTGAAGAGGCAGGACAGCAAAAAATACAAGGAGAGGCAAGGAAATACAAGCTGGAATAAGGAGATGGAAGAAAAGAGGCATGAAAACAGGAAAGAAACAGAGATCCCAGTGGCAGCAAGAGGACACACAAATACCAGGGCTCTCCACACAGGTTCTTGTGGGTTCCCTGACTCCTTGCACCCACATCCCAAAGAGACAGAAGTTGGGAGATGAAGGAATAAGAATAGGAAAAGAGCTGAGGAGGGAGTTAAGTAGAGGCAAGGCAGGCCAAGTGAAGGGCTACCAACAAACGAAAAAGACAGCAGCAGGTCTTTGTCTTCCCAAACCATATGTGAATTGCCCCTTTGGTCCTTGGTACTATAGGAATGCTTGGTCAGCTCCTTCAGAGAAACTCCTTAACAAGTCTTCCTCAAGGGGGCACATAAAGAGCCTTAAATTTTCTGTTCAGTTGGGTCAATGAAGATGAGGGCAGATCCTGCTGTAGCCTCAGTGACCGCTGCAGCAGGAACAGCAGCAGCAGCCATGGGAGTGTGCTTGTGGGCCCGTTGTTGTGTCAGCGACCGGGTGTGGCTGAAGCATTTGCCACATTCAGTACAGTCTGTCGGCTGCTCACCCAGATGCGTCTTCCGGTGCAGTGCAAGCTTGGAGGCGACACTGAAGGCCTTTCCGCACTTAGGACACTTAAGTGGCTTGTGGCCTGCATGGTTACGCAGATGTACATTTAGGTTGGACACGCACGTGAACCGCTTGCCACACAACTCGCTGTGGTAGGGCTTTTCTCCTGTGTGTGTGCGCTGGTGTTTGGTGAGGTCTGAGTGGTGGCTGAAGCTACGGCCACACTCGGGGCACACGAAGGGTTTCTCACCTGTGTGGATGTGCAGGTGTACCACTACAGCATATCGCTGTCCAAAACCCTTGCCACAAGTGATGCACACATGTGGTCTCTCACCCCAGTGGCTGCGCTTATGATGCAGCAGTGTGGAGCTGTCACTGAAGCAGCGTCCGCAGTCGCTGCATGCATAGGGTTTCTCACCTGTGTGCATACGCTTATAGTGAACCAGTGTAGTGCTCTCCAAAAAGGCCTTGCCGCACTCTAGGCATTTGAGAGGCTTCTCTCCAGAGTGCGTCTGGAGATGTTGTGTTAATGTAGAGCCCTTGCCAAAGCTCTTACCACACACACCACATTGGTGGGCGTCCATGTCGCAGAGATGTTGGAATGTGGAGTGGCTGGGGCTCTGGACCAAATGGACTCGCCCGTGAATCTGCAACCCTGCACTGCTGCGGAGGGCCTGTGGGGGCACTGTGCACAGTGGAGGAGCGGGCCTGGATAGGGGTCGGTGTGCCTCTAAGTGGTGTGCCCGTGCCTGGTGGAAACGCAGAGCACTCTGTCGGAAGGAGAGGGCACACGCTGGGCAGCGGCAGGGCTGCTCAGGCGGATGATGGCGGCTCTGACGCAGCACCACTGATAGGTGAAGGAAGCGTCGGCCACAAAGACGGCAGGGGCAGGTGAGGCCGTGCGGCTGATGCATTCCCAGATGCAGATCTAGACTGCCACTGCGGCGGAAGCTCTGGCCACACTCGCTGCAGATGTAGAGTGTCTGGCCTGCGCGGGCCTGCTTATGAGCGTAGAGGTTAGCAGACCCAGCACGGGGCTGTCCACACCCTACAGAGTGGAAGCAGCTGTCACCACTGTGGGCATGCTCGTGCTGCAGCAGCATGGAGCTGTATCTAAAGCTCTTGCCACACTCACTACATGCATAAGGCCTCCCCACCTCCATCACTCCTGATGCTGTGAACATGGTGACAAGTGGCCAGTCAGGGAAGCGTGCCACTCACACTCTGGTGTCTGCCTCCTCACAGTGCAAGTAATTTTTAGTTTTCTTAAGGCCTAGAAAGGGAAAATAGCAGGAGGGTAGAGGAGGAGACCTTGAAAACTGGTCTGTGGATTCCAGGGTTCCTTCTCTCAAAGGCAGGTGGTGTTGCTATTCCAGAAGTAGGCTACAGTCCGATTCACCCTGCATTGTGAGCCCTGAGGGGAGAAGGTCACCATGAGTCCAGTAACAGCTGCCAACAACTCCAACCTGGGAGTTCCTGTAACTTACTCAGGTAGTCCATCTCCCAGATCCTGTTTTCTAAAAGAAAGCAAAGCCATGGGAGACCCAGAAATATGGAGAAGGTGTCCTTGTACTACTTGAAAGAGCAGTAAGGACAGATTACACCCGCCCTGGAGAACAGGCAAGTATGGATTCAGAGGGAAGTTTATGTTCAGCCCAGAACCAGGAACCTCAACATTGCTAAAGAAGGAAGAATGAGTGTTCTGCCTGTTTCTGGTGGATAGGGGATCCCCACCTGGGCAGATGCATTAGGAAGTGACTAAAGAGAGATGCCAGGTAATTAAAAAAAAAAAAAAAAAAAAAAAACAGCAACAACAACAAAAAAAAACCACCCTGGCGTTAGACCATACCTCTAAGACTCCTTTCCTGAATCAGCAATGTGAAAACAAAAACGGCAATGTAAATTTAAAGAAACAGCAGCAACCTGAGCGGAGTACTCAAACCTGATAGCACCAAAGGGGCTGAGGCCTGGGCAAGGGAACATATTTGAGAACCCTATCAAATATGTCAGTACCTAATAAACTACTACCCCATACATCCCCAAAGTAAAGAATGTAACTCAGGATCCAGGAAAGTGGTAAAAAGGGAGTATGGATCATTCACAGAAAAATATTATAACAATATTATCAAAAGTTGGTAGAATTACCCAAGAAGTAATTTTCCCATCTTCAGGAAAGGCTAGGGAGAAGGAAAGGGCATTCTTTATAATTCTCAGAATATCCAAGGTTTTTTTTTGTACTCTCAGCCAGAGCCCCAGGGATAGAAAACTCTTTATAGACCAAATCTGTTCAGCTGTCTTGTTTATCTCAAATGGTATCCTGGAATCCTTCCGACAGGTTACTCCAGGCAGTTCTCCAGAGGCAGGGCCAGTCTTTGTCTTGTATGCAAGGAACCTCCTAAATTTGCTGTTCTCGTCCCATGACTGACCTCAGTATTGACTACTTCCCTCAAGGCCCATAGATCTGTCTCCAGCCCATTTTCACCAGAATGCTAGAAATTAGGTTATAGTCCTTAGCTCAAGGTCTTACACATCAGATCAGGAAGAGAAAGCAAACAAAATGGTTAAGTTGTTTTCTTGCAGTAGATGGAAATTCATCATAAATGCTCAGAATTTTTGTTGAAGTACGCATATAGACAGGATCCTCATTTTTGGATGTAAATGGAATCAACTGAAAAACAGCTTTGGAAACAGCAAATCTGCAGAAGTGGGCTCTGGAGTTTTTGCTCCCTTCCATCCTGGTTAGGAGGAGCCACTTTGGGATGTGCTCTTCTGGTGCCTCTGGGGCCAGGATCATGTGTCCTGTAGGAATGATGTTAAGAAGTGAATTTGAACTGAGCAGAGAGAACATGGGGAGAAAAAAGGAAGTATTTTGTAAGGAAGGTATTTTTTTTAAATGTAGATATTTTAAAATATAAAAACCTAGTAGAATAGTATCATGAATCACCATTTTGCCATTCTTGTTTTATCTGTGACACCATTCCACTTTTTTTGGGAGGTAGGGGAAGGTCTGTAATACTTTACACCCTGGATATCTTATTTGAAGATGATGACTTTTAAACAAAATATCCAAGCAGGTGGTGGAACACCTTTGCAGATGTAAGAGCATATTTTAGAGGGAATACATTGGATGCTCAAGAGAAAACTTGGCTTGAACTCAAGGTCTACACCTCAAGCCACTCCACCAGCCCTTTTTTGTGATGGGTTTTTTGAGATAGGGTCTCACGAACTATTTGCCTAGGATGGCTTCAAACCACAGTCCTTCTGATCTCTGCCTCCTGAGTAGCTAGGATTATAGGCATGAGCCATTGGCACCCAGCAAGTGAAAATTTTTAATCCAGTCACTTGGGCTGCTGATTCTACTTGAAGAACAGCTCAAAAGAATATTCATCTTTATGAGAATGACACCCTGGAGACCCAGTGATAGATCCCAAATGCTAAAGACAGCAATGTCAAGTACTCTGCCTCATCTGGGACTCTCCAGGAGGCATGGAAACCATGTTTCTGGGAGCCTCCCTCTCCTGGGGCACATGCCCAGAAAAGCAAGACAAATGCACAAACACAAACATGCACACATAAATGGCACATAAACAAAGATACCATTTCCTCTTTAGTGACATGGAGTAAGAGAGACTCTGGTGTAGGGCACAGATTTGGTGCTTGTGTGTCAGAGTGGGCCCTTCAAGTTTCTCTTACTTGCCTCATCCCATGCTGGAGCTCATACCAGAAGCAAAAGGGTCTGTGCATGGGTAGAAACCTGAAGGAAAAAAATTACAATGTCTAAAAAGAATAATTTCTAGATCATCCTATTACTTTCTTGAGTGTGAGTGTTGAAGTTGTTATGCAGCCAAATTTCTTTCACTTTGGAAAAAAACTAAGGGAGGCTTAGAAAAAGGGAAAGGGATAGTTATGTGTGAATTAGTGAAAAGTCTAATAGTTGAATACTTTACAGTATTTTTGTGTCTTTCAAGAACTTAATACAAATATTCATATATAATTAACAAAAAACAGGTATTAAGATAAGCTGATGGAAAAGTTAGCATTCATAATACATTCATGATAAACTAAGTTTCATAAATCACTTTTTTGCATCTTGGTAAATATTGCAAATATTTTATATCTAGTTGACCACACATTGCAAATTAGGAGTATTAAAATTAGTCATGCTTAGTACATTTATTAACAATATACTGTGGGAATTTTTTCTTCAGAGTTGAGTCCTTCAGTTAGAAAGGATCTTCTTCCCTGGGTATCTATTCTGCCATGCCAACACTTCTTGAGTAGGGTGAGAGACCCAACAAAGATCCGATTCATAAAGAAGTAGGCAATCATCTTGCTATATCCATCTTGAAGCCAAATTGAATAAAACTAGTTTGGGCTGCTAAGAGTTAAACTGAGAACTGTTCAGAGCTGTGCTGTCTACTACAGTAGCCAAGAGCCATATGTGGCAATTGAGCACTTAAAATATGGCTGGTCCAAAGAGGGATGTACTAGAAGGGTCAAAAACACTCCCCATTTCAAAGTCTGAAAAAGTAATGTGAAATATTTCATTAATACTGATTTTAGTTTTATGTTGACTATATATTGAAATCATAACATTTTGGATATATTGAGTTAAATAAAGCATATTATTAATTTCAACCTTTTTTTTTTTGGCAGTACTGGGGATTTGCACTCAGGGCCTTGCTTTTGCTAGTAGTAGTAGTATTGTTCTACCATTTGAACCACATCCCTAATCCTTTTTGCTTTTAGTTACTTTTCAAATAGGGTCTTATGCTTATACCCAGGCCTGCCTGGACCCAATCCTTCTATCCTACTTAGCTGAGGTGGCTTGTGCCACCATGCCTAGCTTCTTACTGGTTTATCTTATGAACTTTTTACTACTTTTTGCCCATGTGGCCTTCAACCACAATCCTCCTGATTTCTACCTCCAGGTAGTTAAGATTATAGGCATGAGCCACTGTGTCCAGCTAAAATATCACCTATTTTTAATAAAATTTGAGATTACAAATGTGGCTCACATTTTACTTCTATCAAATAGTGCTTGTACAAATGAACTTTCCAAATTCTGGAGCAACTTACAAAGGAAGACTGGCCTACCTCCTGGTCTCTGGAGGCCTTTATTTGGAAAAAGATTGTTGAACTTACTTGACCCTGAACCTCCATAAGCATGGCTGAGGGCCATTTCTCCCACTTCCAAGGCTCCATCCCCTGACCACCCCTTTCCAAGGAGTGTACCTGCTCTTCTGGAAAACAGGTGTCTGTAATTCTCATCTAGAAAACTTGTTGGAACTTGGAGGTTGTGATCTGTATAACCCCTCTTACTGCTACTCTCAGGGTGAAACCATCACAGTTGTTAGGAACACAACACATAATGATGCTCACATATTTGTGCATTTGACTAAAATGATCTGAAGGTTACTTATGTACTTATCCAGTTATACACAAACATGCAGGTGAGTCTGGGGACAAGGGACAGCAAGAAAGGTGGCCCATCTCTCACTTTCCCCAGGGCAGTTCCCACTCATTCCCAGAGGCCCCAGCAGGCCTGCAGCTGTTCACTGCGTAGTGGCAACAGACCCAGCTGTGTGGCTCAGTGGGAAACATGGAGTGTCCAGGGGACAGAGGGGTACGACACTTGGCCTAGGATTCATTCTCTGTGTGCTGCATTAATCCTAGGGCTCTGGCCAAGGAAATAGAACTGTCCTCAAAAGAAGACAGGGCAGGAGTAGGAGTGGAAGTGTGGGGAGCTGTAGTTGCAACCAGGAGAGGTGACTTTTGTGCTTGAGTCTCCCTGTGTCCTTATTCATGGGAAGCTGAGAATTGCTGGTATCTCCAGGATTCTGTGACATACCAAAACTGCCCTGAAATCAGGTAGAAGCAAATTATCTACTCCTTACTTTGGATGATGTATGGAGTAGAAAGATTTCCTTGGCCCTTGGAAGTCTGCTTCAGGCTTTTCCAGGTGTGTGAAATTCCTTCCACTGGGAAAACACTTCCACATCTTCATTCAGGCCTCTTTCTAAATAACCACACACAGGAAAGGCTATGCCTGTTATCCTCCATACCCCCTTCAACCCCGCTCTTTAGTTTTATTCTAAATTTACAAGAAATGGTGATTCCTGTCCACTCTGGAAAGATTTAAGCTCTATTCTAGGAGGTGAGGATGAAGAATGAAATTCAGAAT